CTCAATGAAAGTCACTCTAGGAGCCCACAACATCAAGATCCAGGAGAAGACCCAGCAGATCATTGCTGTGGCTAAAGCCATCCCACACCCAGCCTATAATCCTCAGGATAGCTCCAATGACATCATGCTCTTAAAGGTGAGAACTGTCCCCATAGCTTCCTGTGCTTTGCTTGCTCAGGGATTGCCCCTCCTCTCCTGCTCTCATTCTGTTCCTTCCTTCCCTGCCATCCTGATTCAGAAAGGGGCCCAGGCTCCTGACTGAGCTGCTCTCTCCTGCTTCTTCCCCCACAGCTGGAGAGGAAGGCCAAGATGACTAAAGCTGTGAGGCCTCTCAACTTACCTAGTAGCAAGGTCCATGTGAAGCCAGGGGACGTGTGCTATGTGGCTGGTTGGGGACAGTTGGCCCCGAAGGATAAATTCCCAAATACCCTACAAGAGGTGGAGCTGACAGTCCAGAAGGATCAGGAGTGTGAGTCCCAGTACCTAGATGGTTACAACAAAGCCATTGAAATGTGTGTGGGAGACCCAAAGATCAAGAGAGCTTCCTTTTATGTAAGTTTGATTTTCAACTTCTTTGTGTTCTGTGGGAGGGAAAAGCAATCTGAAACCCAGAGAGCAAGTTTCAAGGAACTCTTTGTTTTGATCTTTCTCCATGGAAACAGCAGTAACCAGCAACTAACTAGGCCCTCAGAGCTGACAAGGAGCTTCAATGAAGACAGTTGGTATAAAACAGGAGTGCATAGTCCTCCTGACTCCCAGGCCCAGGCTTTAGAAAGCAGTGTGCCCTGTGTGTGTCATTACCTCAGAGCAGGCACCCACATTTGTCAATGGTCTGGTCCTCTATGCTGCCATCAGTCTCACTCACCTGTCCCCATGTTCTTAAACAATTGCCTGGAGCTGAGGGTCCCACACACCCTCATAGGGAGTGGATCACAGACGAGGTGAGAGGACAGAGGCCTGGTTCTGGTGGAAGTGAAGCAGTAACCCTGTCTATGTCAGAGTGGGAAGCCCAGCGGCCCCAGGCCTGCCCTCCGATCTTCCATAAGCAGAGCACACAAGTCATACTCCTTGGAGAGGAGCCTTGATGTGAGAGAGCGGTTGGGACTAGGGTGAACAACAGCTTAGTCTTCTGTGACCTTTCTCCATTCACAGGGAGATTCTGGAGGACCTCTCGTGTGTAAAAATTCAGCTGCAGGCATTGTCTACTTTGGACACACTGATGGTTCACCTCCAAGAGTCTTCACCAGAGTGTCAAGTTTCCTATCTTGGATAAAGAGAACAATGAAACGCAGCTAACTACAGAGCAAACCAGACCCCTCCCTGACTCACCATCTTCCCTACAGCTGAGTCCAGGATTGCCCTAGGACAGAAGCCAGCATCTCAATAAAGGTGTCTTTGCAGAATCAAAAGACTGGTTTTTATCACAGCGACCAACTCTGTGCTAGGAAGGTCAATGTCTCATTTCTGCTCTCTGCTCGTCCCATGTCCATACTCACATCTTGTCTAAAGCTCCTGCAAGGCTTCTGTCCAGATTGTTTGTAATTGTCCCACTGTGCAGTGCCTGCCTTCTTACATGCCTAAAGTCAAGCTGTGCTGTCTCTCATCTTGGGGCTCAGGCTTAACTCTTGTCTTTCTCTCGGTCATATGGACAAAAGGAGAGGGAAAGCATCATTGGTCCAGGAGATTTGGGAGACAGAGCCTAAGGTCACTGTTGATGGATCTTCCTGTGCAGAATATCTCTGTCCTACTGCTTTACCACTTCATGTCACCAACATGACAGCAATTTCAGTATCCCCTCTTTTTCATCTAGAAAAACTTTCATTATCCTCCTCTGAAAACAGGGCCAAGCTTCCTTCAGCCTCTTAGCTCCATCCCCTTCTCTTTTATGCACTGACTCTATCAACTCCTATGCTTTACAGTCCATGATAATCTTTACAAGTCCCCACTTTTTACCCTCTACCCAAGACACCCAAATCCACATGTGATTCCATTCATTAGGGCCTCAGACCTGGGGTGTCAAGTGGGCAGGGAAGTGACTCACAAGAGTCCAAGGCAGAAGTGTCATTACAGAGGATCCATGGAGGACAGGGCTCTCAGTGTCTCTCTCCATAACCATACACCCTACTTCCCACATGTTCAGGACCTCCTCTCCATGGATGAGACGAACCACAGTTGGCTAGGACCAACTCTATCCAATAGCAATCAAAAAACTATGCCCACAGTCAATGTAACAGGTACAATCCTCAACTGAGGGCTACTCTTCCCAGGCGTTTCTAGTTTGTATTGAGTTGGCAAAAAGTGCCCAACACAGCCAGTTAGATAAGTTTTGTGGTAAAAAGCTAGACATGAGATTATGTGGTTGTATTTAAAAGAACAAAACAAAACAAACCCTGCCGACCATTTGTTGATAGTGAGTTTGCTGAGAGGTGTACCTGTGATTCAGTGACTGACAGGCTCTAAGGAGGGAGAAATATTTATTTCTAAACCCTTTGGTGTCACCAGATTATGACCACATGAATTGAGTAAAATTTAAAACAATTCCATCCAAAGAATTTTGAAGACCAGAACCACTAATTGTAAATCCTACTCTTTGGAGATTGATGGCCGTGCTGATGCTAAATAGAGCCCAACCTACCATGCTGATTACAGGTAGTGATGCTGGAGGTAACTTCACTGAAGAAATGGCTTCTTTAGTGCTGTTGAGACACTAAATAAATCTATTTGTATGGGCAGTGGAAAAATATATCAAAGTGGCTTTCTTTGTCCATTACCAAACTAACTAGTACAGATGCCGCTGATTCCCAGAGATGGTTGTTCAATGAGACAGACCTAGCCTAGCAGTGCTGGAGAAAATCTTTAATCTCAGCACTGGGAGCAGAGGCAGTTGGATCTCTGAGGTCAAGCTCAGCCTAGTATACAAGGCAAGTGCCGTAACAGTCAGTGATACACAGAGAACCCTTGTCTCAAAAATAAATAACTGAATAAATAAATAGAATAAAATAAAAATGTAAATTAAAATCAAAATAGAGGAACTTGTAATATTATAGAAGATAGTGCAATTACAACACTAACCTCATGTTCAATGATGTGTCCATGCAGAGGTCTTCAAGAAAATTTATGCACAGGGAAGAAGGTCTCAGTGGGGATGTTGGGCAATAAGAGAGCATGATCTTAGGAAAAAATGACCAAAATACATTGAATACATATATGAAATTGTGAAAGAATTAAAAAGTAAGTTCTAAGGATACATTTAATGCAAAATAATTAAAATATGGGTAGCATCATATAGATTATTGTTACTTCTGAATTTCGTAAGGATCAAGGATTAAATCATCTCCAATGTCAAGCTAAGGACATTACCAAAACATTGTCAAGTTACTTCCAATGTTGTAAACAATATTTATGCCAGAACATGGGGATGAATACTCAATTACAGATTGAATTTGAGTGGATTTGACTGTTAATTTCATCTTTAACAGAAAACCAAAATCTCAATACCATGTTTAGCAAGGTACATGCTCCAAGTGAAGGTTGATATATTGTAAACTCAATTAAGGCCAATAATTGCATGCTTTTCAAACAAGTTGAATATGGTTTTGTAAAAAGTGATATAACCTTGCTATTACATTGGAGAGAGAAATTGAAAACAGATATCAAGATTTCCAGAAATAATGTCACTTTTTTGGTATAATCACAAGTCTATTTTTCATCAGCATATATGTTATCTGCCAACGTTACCTTCTGATTTTCAATTGGAAATGCCTAGAACTGCATTCCTTCATTCAACCTAAGAATATTTTTGATCATGTCCCTTCTTGACACTTATGGGCCTCTTACAGGATCTTCTCTAGATTCATGGGTCTCTTACAGGACCTTCTCAGATGAGAGCTCACCCTTCACAGTCACACTGGATCCACGCCATCAGTTTTTCATGGCACCTACACTTGTGAGTCACAGGTTTCAGTAACTGAGCATGCAGGCCTAGAGAGATGGTCCCAATGTCTTAATGGTAGAGACTGCTCTTGCAGAGGCCCCAAGTTCAGTTCTGAGCACCATGTTGAATGTCTCTTAACACTTGTAACCTAGGCTCCTCTGGCCTCCAAGGGTCTATGTACTAACATGCTCATGTCAAATCTGAACACAGACACATATACATAATCAAGAGTTAAAATCCTTTATGTAAATACCTTCTAGATATGAAATTGGAAGCAAACAAGATTGCTGGGCAAAAGTTGGGAGCATGGGGGTGGGGATAGAGGTGGGGTTGGGCTTGGGGGAAGGGGAGAGGTGGAGAGAGAAGTGAGAAGGGAAAGACTGGAGAGAGCTTGGGAGAGTGGGAGGGTGGAGATGGGGGAAGGGCAGATATAGGAGCAGGGAAGAAATTATCTACTTTAAGGGAGTCATTTTAGGGTTGGCAAGAGACTTGTCTGTGTTATTTAAAACGCAAAGAAAGAGCGAAATCAAAAAAAGAAAAAAGAAAAAAAAAACCCAAAAGATTTCTTACCAGAATTCAAAAGGATATAAGAAGTAAGAAAGTACATTCTTGGGTTCAATGCAGTCACTGGACTTCCTGGGTTCTCAGGGCCCCTCAACCACAGCCTCCACACCGTCTGCTCTCTTGGTCTTTATTCCAGCTTAACTTGTGTCAATGCAGTGATGACATTTTTACCCAAACCAGAAAACGTCCTTAAGTAGTGTAGCCAATCAGAGTAGAGGTGCACAGGTATAAAAGGCCTGTGAGGTCACTGAGCGCTCACCTCCTTCATCATTCAAGGGCCGTGTTCACTCTGCTTTCCTCCACCTGAGAGCCTTCCTGGGAAGATGGCAGCAGTCCTGATTCTCCTGACCTTTCTTCTTCTGCTTGGAGGAGCTGGTGCAGGTGAGTGAACACCCCTGTCATAGAGATTCCATCCCATAATACCTCTGTGGAGTCCCTGCTCAGCTCTAGTCAGGAACTTCCTGCACTGAACCAGGAGCTTCCTGAACCTCAGGTGCCAGACCATCCCAGACCTGAAAGCCTGTCACTGGCTAGATCCTCAGCAAGCTCTGAAGAAGGGCAGTGTCCTCAGAGGGCATGGTGGGCACTAGCTCTTTGTGTCACCTGGATAGTGGATCATCAAAAAAGAGAGTTAGTAGCAGAGAATGCAAAGTTACTAAAAAGTACATTATTGACCTTACCTGAGCCCAGATCCAGGGCAGCTTTAATGACCAGTCAGCAATGGAGTCAGGCCACCAACTCAAGAATATTATCATTATTTAGCAACCTCCCCCATCAATTGCTGAAGAAAGAGGCCCAGGGTGACAAATGCCATCACTGCACCCTCCATTAAATTTGCAGTTTTGTTTGGCCTCTCCATTTCTTTCTGCACATTCCTCGCTAGTTCTGTCTATGCAAGCACACAACTCCAATGGCCCCATGGCCCCGAATCCCATGAGTTCTGAACTACTAGCCCTGCAGCTACATAGAAGTCATTCATTTATGCAGCCAAAAGCATTTATTGAGAACCCAAGATGTTTGGGGCACCAGAATAGAATTTTAAAAGATCCTCCAGATAGGGGTTGAGGAAAGGGGTAAAACCATGATGGTAATCAGTACATCAGAGAGTCAGGGAGACACAGTAAGTAAGAAAAGAC